TCGGCACAGGTGTAACACTGGTCCATTAGTTGTTGAGAGTCAAGGGATGCGGTTTCATTTAACACGTCAGTGAGATAAAGTGTCGCATAACAGGGTAATGACAAGGGAACCCGTTTTGTAGCGCAGTAGATGACGTTTCAAGACATTTAGGTGTTATGTGACGTCAGTGACATGTCATCTGGCGTCCCCTGTTCTACATCAACCCCAGGTGTTCGCATAATTCCACTCCAGTTACTACCTTTCAGATTGACAAGCGGCTGGGTGGCGTGACCACGGATGCAGAGTTACACGTTCGATCAGGCATTTGGGCTGCAGGAGACACGGCATCGTTCTACGACAAATCGCTGGGTCGACGAAGAATTGAGCACTGGGAAAATGCCCAGGTGAGCCCTTATGCATAGCCAACAGTTGCAACAGTTGAGGATGCCTAGCATCATTAATCGCTCTTTAGGTGAGTGGGCGATTGGCAGGAGAAAACATGACAGGTGCTGGCAAAGCCTTTTGGTAAGTCTTTTCAAGAAGTCATTGAAACTACAAAGATTTACTGTTCTATCGGATTTCCAGGTATCAACCTGCGTTCTTTTCTAAAATTGCTCCTCATTGGCATATCAACGCCGTCGGTATCACAGATTCATCGCTACCAACGGTTTCTGTGTTCGCAAAAGATGTCCGTTTTTATTTTATCTTTATTTAGTCATGAATAATCTAGCAGCAGATCTTTTTTGATTTTTTCTGCTTGTAGGACAACGCCAACGAGAGCTTTGAACGTGGTGTCGTATTCTATAAAGGAGATGACGGAAAGGTATGCAATCTTATGGGTAATCAGAGTAATAGTGTGATATGGCCAGAGCACTTTCCTTAGCTAGGGGCTGAAACTAGATCTCACATTTTTCGTGCGATTGTACATCGTTCGTCGTTGCCTTAGCCTGAGGATGCATTCTACCTTTACCTGGACGGTAGATTTTCTTAAGCAGATCCGCAGCCGGATCCAGTACATTTCCTTGTCCCGGTGATCAGTATGCGATCAAATCGGACAACTACCGACTCCATTTATTCGGGTTCAGGTTGTTGGTGTGCTTTTACTCAATGTGTATGGCTCCGGTGTCGATGTTTCGCGGCGGTTAATCGAAGAAGCGAGAAGCGTAGACGATTTTCAACAGCTTGCAAAGCTATATGCAGAACCTGAAGAACAAGAGAAAAGAAGGAAGAAAAACCTGAAAAAGTCAATTAGGTTGTTTTCACTGATATTTGTCGGGCAATTTTATGTGTCAAGATCTTGTTTTACCTCTTCTATTTCTCGTTATTCATCACAAATAGGCGTCCTCACGGATTGAAGTTGTATTGCATTACTTCAGCTAAGCACTGTTTCACTAGTTGTTTGTTGTTATTATAGTTGTAGTGATATAGTAGGATTAGGATTTGGGTGCCTTAATTTACGAAATGATCTTTGAGTTGTCTGTTAATCGTTCGTTATTGCTCCTGTTGAGTCTCAATGTTATAGTCAGAATTCCTCGAAATGCTCTAAAACTTTCTTATTGACCCCTTGTTTTACTTCCGTATTTTCTATCCTAACTTTCATATTTGCACTGAATCTACATAATTGCGAATAATATCTCCCAATCAATAACAACTGTTTCTCAGTTACGACTTTATTTTTGTTCCTTTGTTGTTATTAAGAAGACCTCTTGAAATTGGTCGTTGGCTTCTCAAGATTGCCAAGTTTATTAAAATGCTATGGGACAGTACTTAAAATGTGTTGTGAAGGATCGCATGTTCATATTTTGCAAATGTGGGGATGTCGGGACCCGTGAGCCTTCAGAGGACCACGTGGCAACCAACTGACCGCGCCCACTAGCGTTTGAAGGAGCCAGCGTTCTCCCTATTCGCGGATTCTTTCGATTCGCAAGCAATGAACAAGACCTAATATGTACAACACTGAGACCAGTTGTGATCGTAAGATTTCTAAGATTTGTTCTTAGTTCTTTCGAGGTATACGGTGGAACGGGCCAGCTGTAGGCAGTGTAGAGACCCATGGGATATTCTCCACCTGCATTTGAACCGACTTCTCGTCCAGTGCTAAAAAATCGAGTGGGCCTTACTATTAGGTGGGAGAGGAGGGTGTCGAGGTTTTTTCTGGCGCTCTCTTCATTAGAGCGACAATTAGTACCTACGAATTCATGGTTAGACCCCAGTAATCACTAGCTGCGATCGCGGAAAATATTCTTAACTGTCATTTTTGTTATATTCTATTGAGTTATGGTGGCTAAGTTTCAGGGGTATGATGGCAGTTGTGTTGAGCAAGCCTCACTACGTTCTTTTAATGGGGTCTGCGTCCTAGGAAAACCAATTGCCATTCAGCAGCACTATGAGTTGCAAGGAATTGAGCTTTTGGAGAAGCAACCGAAAAAATCGGTTCGTATGATAATAGCAGTGTGACGGCTGGAAATGAGCTCTAAAAGTAAAAATCAATATGGTGAACATGATCAGACTCCATGGGAATATAGTGTAGTTCGCTGCGGACGGTTGGGCGTGTCAGTGCGGCGCGGTGCCAAACTCGTTCTCCACCAGTTGTTGAAGCGGGCAAGTGACAATACTGTATCATATCCTTCGTATTACTCGTTTTCTACCACTTTTTGTCGCATGCGCGTTTCAACAAGAAGGCAGAGAACGGCTTTGACGGGGTGACACACTCATACTGGCTGACACGCCCAACCGTCCGCAGCGAACTAGAGTGTACATTCTGCACAGTCGGCCACAGCCGGGAGAGTCCCCGACCGGGCACCGGCCTCGAGAGGCGAGTACCCGTTTTGTTTTTTTGTTGAGTATTATTGGTGCCGTTATATCACCTTGTGGCGGACGCTGCGGATGCCGTGCTTGCGCCACAAGACGTGGAATATACGCGCTTCGCCGCGCGGTATTCGCCACCAAACTGGGGAGTGCAGCTGCCAACCCGTTTCTCTCTGCCTATGGGGCAAAGATTCAAAGGTGAGCGCACATCTTGTCTTCAAACGAAGCATTTTGCTATGCCCTATCCATCTACGTGATATGAAGTGCAGGCTTCAAAAAGTAGCCGTCCCAAGGCAGGGAATATCGTTGAGCCATGTTCAGCAAAGATTTTCCACAGCGCGATGACTCCTTGTCTCAAGCACTCTGCTAGAGGGAGACACAAGAATTTTCTACGTAACGGATAGCGCACTCGCCCGGAAAGCGTGAGATGCGGTTCGGCTCCCGTCTGGGGTACGACTTTTGTCCATAACTCAGCATTCTTGTAATAACATTCGGAACGCGAAGTACGGCGTCAAACAGCAGTTATCAAACAAAGCAGGCATCAAAAACAATTTCTGCTTTGGCTGAAGCTGAAAATTGCTTTTTAAAAGCGTATGTTATCTACCGAGATCATGTTATAGCTGTGCGTAAGAACTGAATGCAGGGGGGCCGGGGGGGTGTTAGAGGGGTGGACTGGAGCTCAGCAGTGGTCATGTTTCCCCCTAATAGGGATACCTCTTAGTGAGTAAATGCTGGTAGAAAACGCGACCGCTGCCGGTCTAAGTTTCAGCCCTACGTCCGCCGCATTCATTTTCATGCACTATACGAAACCTGAGCTCCAATTTCCTACGCCAGCTCAGTGTCCACTCACCCCTGAGATCCTTTCGTCAAAGAATTTTGACAAGACAGTATTCAAACAAACGTAATTTGAGGCTTGTATTACTTCCACCTACATGAAGTTAGTTTAGCATGAATTTGTAGCTCTATGGGGGATCGTGCTCCAAGGCGAAGAGCAAGAGTAGGGGAAGTGTTCCGCTAATTTTCATCACTGAAATATACGAATACGACCCCCTCCCCAGGCCAGCTCTCATTCTCTTTAGTATTCGTAGTTCGAGGATGGGCGCACCCACAACTAGGGACATGTAGGTGAAGGGGGAGGACCACCCGGATCGCGTGATCTACAAAACCGCTATCGACCCATGCGGCACAAAAGTGCCATTGCCAAGTTTGATGAAGCGGACAAAGCTGCAGAAGATCCGGATGTGTGGAAGACTACAAAATATTAAAACAATTGATTAGCAATATATCAATAGTTAGCATGAACTCGTAAGTACGTAGATGATTAGGTACATCTCGAATAGATTTGAGCCGGTCTCTGCAGCGTGTTACCGTGTCGCGATCGCTTCGGTCCGTCTTTGTCGCGGTTCGCATCCCTTCGTTGTGTGCTTTTCATACATGCGTCCGCCCTAGTGCGCCTTGTGTCGCTGTCCGTGTGCGTTCTTTCCGTGTTTGCCGTCCGACTGTGATTTATCGTGCGCGGTAGTCCTTCTCCGTCTCACCGACCTTCCAAACCTTCAAACAACATCTAGCTTGCCTATGGACAAAATATCTAAAATACAGAAGATTTACACCTTCCCACCACCTCTGCGTGAAGCGTAATGCACAGCGCATACTCGGACCAAATCGGTCGATGGTAACTAATTTATGCTTAAACTCAGCTCAGCGGTAATATGTGTTTCTAATGCATATTCAGTATCGCGAATGAGTATCCTTACGTCATACAGTGTTCACAGAAGGCCGGAGTTGGAGGCTTTTGAGTAGGCGCTCAGAATGTCCAGCCGAGCGGTCATTAAACATAGAATTATTATTTAACATTCCTAATAATATCCTCTGCATTAGCGGCGTCTTCAGGACAGAGAGGAGGGTTAGCACCTCCTGTAGAGCTTTTTGAAAAGAGGAAATATTGGGCGTTCTGAGGGCGTTTTTAATTTTGCAAAAGATTGCGTTCAAAGAAGTTATTCTCGTCTGAAGCATAAAAACCCGCTCGCGATTTACCACTAACGCGTCCGTAACCCATCCGAAATATTTCACGAACGGGGAAGATTCAGATTGCGAGTAGGTAGAAAACGCAACAGTAGAGACATTGCTTCAACATGCCGCCTTCCGTTTCTCAAAAGCCCCACACCTAAAAAGCTATTACCCCCAGAAAAAGCTCCACGATTTCCACCGGCCAACAGATCTTCTCCACCGCTAATTTGCCATGGAATCACAACGCGGCGCAAGCGCTTGCGAGTCGTTACGTATGTAATCCTTCTCGTCAAAGCAAACAATTAGAGCCAGAAAAGGGGAGGGGGTCGTACTGACACAGCTATTTCACACTTCACCATGCTGTACCCTGAGTCTAGCACATAAAACATGAACTCTAGAAGACTTCCCTCTCTCATTGGTATGCGAGAAGTCAATCAACATAAATAAATGCTAATGTGAAGACAGGTGGTGTGCGGCTCTGAGGACTCCTTTAGAATGTAAAGTAAGTCATTGCTCGCTTATATAATTAAGACTTCAATGTGGGATGATCCGTTCAGTGCAGAACTGTCGCGAACACATGGGCAGAGGTTCTGCCAATGGCTTTGAGCTATCCTTCAACGGAATACACTTCTGAACTAGTAGTACAGGGTTATCTACGGGCGCTACATCAAAGCTTTGTGGATCCTTCCTGTACTCCTCCATGTGAACGAACACAATTGTAGAAGTGATTCAGGGGTGTGTATCCGGAGGGTTCCATTGCGCACACTATGCAGTCCTGCTTAGCGTGCTGGGTCCCGATGTGAAGCAGCCCGCTTGTAGCGCACGTTTTGTCGCTCTTACCGCAGGTCGGATGGGGAGAAATAGGTTTGACCAGGCGCACTGTCACGGGTAAATCGAAAAGCGCTTCGCATGGGCCAAACACATCGAGGTCAAGTGGGACCAAAGTTAAGAGCAAAAGTCCAGTCTCCTGGCGGGACTTGAACCCGGCGAAAATCCTTCCCAATTCCAGGACATCGCCTAACACCATCCGCCTCTTAAGAAATTTTTATATGGGCAACTCTGGAAAGATTCTCATCTATTGCACTAAGTTACTGCCACTACCAGATCCGACGTTGATCTTGAATCTTGGCGCATTTAACTGGCAATTGCAACTGGCCGCCCCACTGGTCATCACGGGTAACCTACACCCGGTGTGTCCTTGACGCGAGGGTTTGCGCTGACTCAGCTCGTGGTCGCCCGCGTCGCAATGGGTGGCAGCGTTGCGTCGCTGTTTCCATTTGAACAGTGCGCGGCGAAGAGTTTGCTGTCCGTGGCGCTTATCACTAAATTCTCTTCTCATCAACGGTCGACTAAATCAATAGCCCTAGGTTTTTGTTTGGAATGCCATCTGCCCTGGTGTTAGCACTTATTCCCTCTAGGAAGAGGTTTCGCTACTATTTGACCTCCTTCTACCATCGTAACGCATATCCCGAAAAAGAACCTTTCAGTGGGCGCGCACTCATGTGACAGCTTTTTATACTACAAGGGCAAACAAACGTCC